TTATCATTATTCAGCGAGTGCAGCAACATTATTTCAACGCTTAGTAAAGAAATAAAAAAAATAGAAGATGCAAACAAATGATGGTGAAATAAATAGTAAGCTGAACTTTGCTTTTAAATCAAGACAAAATACGCCATCATGTTATGGTTTAAAATATCAAACTAGTTCACTAAGGAACTAATTATCATTATTAAGTCCCACAAAATAATAAGCAATCATAGAGTTAAGGCATGCTCAAACTATGTCTAATGCACAATCTAAAATCATATGGTGTCAACTCAGTTGATTATCAACATAGGCCAATAACTCATGTATGAATTTTTTAACGTTTAATATAACAGTCCTAGTGAGCCATCACTTCGATATGTATGCTTAAGTACACGTTGCATTAAAGTTGTAAACTAATTTAGAACCTTCTCTATCAGAGTTATAGTTTCCACTTATGAATTTTCCTTCGACTCAGAGGTTGTAAATCCCACCTATAAGCCTCTCTATAGTCAGCCAGTCCCACCAATGGACCTTCCTTGCTCTTGAGATTGCAATATCCACTACTAGGAGTCTAGGATTCATCAGGATGTAAACTCTAGCCTGATTAATAGAGTCAGCACAAAGTCAACAAGTTTATCAAAACAAAACCTAACATAAGCCTCTCTTAGATTGGATGTAAGACCCAGCATTTTTACTTCAGTTTGTACATCACATCATAAAAAACAGAATAACTACGTGCTCCCTCTAATGCATAATGTGCTTCTTATGAGTATAGACCTTCAGATTTCATCATGATTTTTCGAGAAGCAATAAAAATAAACAAACAATCAAATAAAGTTTTTTATTCTACCTCTCTTCCAAGCTTTTCTTGTAAAATATTAAGATCATCAGTTTTTATTCCACGTATGCTGCATAGACAAGGGAATTGAGGTCAACCAATCAGAAGTACTAAACATTCACTGATGCATAACATGTATTTTTACCTTCATAAGAAAAAACATTAAAATCACGTTAAGAACTCTTAAAACACGTTAGATTAATAACATAAAAACAAAAAGTAAATTAAGAACACAACCAAATTAAGTTGTCCTATTCTACAATCAAGTGCATAAAGAAACAAAATGATTGAAAAAACAAATTTTAAGAAAATAAACTCGCATCAAGATTCGGGACTGACCTCTTGACATTCAAAAGTGGAGGTTCATCTGGGTATTTTTCAGTATGAGAAAAATTCAAAGCCAACTGAACTGCAAAAAAAATACATGCTCAGCACTAAAAGAATATTTTCAAATGGATACTAATTACTTTCTACGAACATGCTGGAACAGTATGAAACTTTTCTCATTAACTTTGATAATTGTAAGATGAAATGTGCAGAACTAGAAAAGTTGAACATGTATGACTTGAAAATAGACATGAAAATGCCAGTCAAATGAACTGACCTGGAGTATAATTTGATTGAGAAAAATGCACCTCCAACATCTCATCTCCGCTATTTACACTGCCCAAGAGGAAACTCAACATAAGATATCTCTTTAACAATCATTCCCCGTAAGCGCATTAAAAAGGCAAAAGGAAGGTAGACTTCCAAATTATTTAACAAAAATCATTTGACCTCGTTGAGTTATACACAGAAATATAAACGTTGTTTTAGACGTGGTCAGTTTTTTCCTGCTATGAATAAATATAATGCCATCTGTCGTTATCAAATACTCGAGTCATTT